ACCTCTGGCAAAGAAAGAGCAGGCTTAGACCCTGTACCACTCATTTGCTTCTTCCTAGTCCCCTTTATCACGTCTGATCCATACCCGGGTAACTGGTGGTATAGGAGTCTTGAGTGTCTCCCCAAAGCCCTGTGTTGGACAGCTCACCTAGCCAGAGACACAATCACTTTAGCAGAATGTGAGTGCACAGGGAACCTCAGCTTCTACAAATCACCCTCCAAGACCCTGAACTAGCAGCCCAAGGAATGTAGCTTGAGGGAACCCAGATGCAAAATATCTGTAGCAGTCCCCTCCTCCAGCTTGGACTGTCCTTGCAGTGGTTGGGTACAACCTTTCTTTCTTTTGCCACCCTCCCCGCTAATCCGGCTGAGACCAAGTCAGCTGCTCTAATTTCCTCCTCTCAGTTCTCCATCTCCCAGTCTGTTTGCTGGCTCTAGATCAGAAGCTGGGAAAAGAACCCCCATCCTACCCCCGCTTCCTGCTTTTTTCTGGTGTAGTTGAGTTGCTCTTGTTCTCTGGGAAACAAGACTGACAGACATGCACCTTCCTTCCCCTGATACTTGAAATCTTGGTGTTTCAGGGACATTTTTCTTGTTTCCAACCAATGAGTCTGTTTCTCTAGCATCCTTAGTACCTCTCCTTGTCTTGATATGCCACCTTTAGCTAAGGCAGGTAGAGTGGAGAATGAGGAGTAGACCGGCCAAAAAGGAAGAGGAGTTGGAGTGGGAGGAGGTTGTCACTGCCTACCCTCCCACATTCCTTGTGTTGCCAGGCCCTAAGCTTGTGTCCTGGCCTCATTATTGAGGATCTTGAGTTGGCCAGTCTGGGTGTCTGTTTCCTACTGACTTCATTCCAATTCCAGATAGCTGGGGTAGTGCTGATGCTGGCAGGTGAGAGGCTAAAGGGGTCCTAGGGAGGAAAAGGAAGGGGACCAGAAGGGGGAGGCATGTTGGGTTGCAGAAGGGGACACTTTCTTAAAGACTGCTTGCTTTTGGCCCAGACCCAGAGCCAAGAGTAGTCAAATGGAGCCCTTTCCCCTCCTAATAAATGGAGCCTCAGGGTGATGATGGGTTGTTTAGACTCTGCTGGGGGTTGGGGCAGGCCAGACTGGGTTTCTGTATATCACCCTTCCCTGTTTGGGGTGGTATGGGGGGACATAGGCCTGTCTCTAGGGTGGATATCTGGGTTGAAGGTACTGACTCTGAGCCCCATTATGAGCTTCTGAACTCCAAAGCTCTGAGTGCTGCCTTTGTCCTGTATCCTCCAGGTGAAGAGTGAGGGACCCAAACTGGTGCCTTTCTTCAAGGCCACCTGTGTATATTTTGTGCTCTGGCTACCCTCATCCAGCCCGTCGTGGGTCAGTGTCCTCATCAAGTGCCTGCCTATCTTCTGCCTCTGGCTCTTCCTTCTGGCCCATGGCCTTGGATTCCTGCTGGCCCACCCCAGCGCCATCCTCATCTTTGTGGGGCTCATCTTCTCTGCCCTAGGTGATGCCTTCCTCATCTGGCAAGACCAGGGCTACTTTGTGCACGGTTAGTGGTCATAGTAACTGCCTGGGGTGGGGTGGGGGGGATCCTGGGGCTGGGGGAAAGAGGGTCTTGGGGTTGGCAAGGATTTAGAAAAGGGAGCTTTTGAATGGGGGAGTTAGAGGGTTTTGTGGTGTGGGGTCCCCTGTTGGAGGACTGCCTGATCACTAGGTGAACTCTAGTGATCAGTTTTGAAGTTCTTTAGGGGAGTGTGTGTGTAGGGGTGATCATTACCTTTGTGGATTTTCCTGCACTTGTTAACTTCCATAGAAAATCTGTTGGATTACTCCCCCCCAATACTCATTAATTACTAAGCTTGCCTTCAGCATCCCTTATCCCCTCTTACTCCCAGGTCTGCTGATGTTTGCTGTGACTCACATGCTCTACGCCTCAGCCTTTGGCATGCGGCCACTGGCTCTCCGGACAGGCCTGGTGATGGGAGTGCTGTCAGGTCTGTGCTATGCCCTCCTCTATCCAGGGCTTTCAGGTGCCTTCACCTACCTGGTGGGGGTCTATGTGGCCCTTATCAGCTTCATGGGCTGGCGAGCTATGGCAGGACTGCAGCTGGCTGGGGCAGCCTGGCGCTGGACTGAGCTGGCAGCAGGCAGTGGTGCACTGCTCTTTATCATCTCAGACATGATCCTTGCACTGAACAAGTTCTGCTTTCCTGTGCCATACTCTCGGGTAGTCATCATGTCCACCTACTATGCTGCTCAGATGCTCATCGCCCTGTCAGCTGTGGAGAGCCGGGAGCCAGTGGAAGACTATAGACTGAACAAGGCCAACTGAGGGACCAGGATCTGCTCACCTCCCTCTCCTAGGGCTGGGGTCCAGACCCTGGGGAACCTACAGGAGCTGGATCAGGATGGCTGCAGTGCCAGCCTGGGCAGTCGGTATCACTTGGGAATTGACAAGTTTGAAGGGGTAAGCAGGAGAAGGTTCTCCCTAGCAAAGCTAGAGGTTCAGGATAGTGCCGAGTTCTCAGAGAAGCAGCTTCCTTTCTGGAGCCAGAACATCACCCCACCTCTACCCCATCAGGACTGTCAAAGACCTCCTGAAGGGTAATGGTGCTCAGCTTCTTGACCCGCCCCTTCCCCTACTAGGTGAAAGAATCTGACTTCATCTCTTATGCCTAGAACAAGTGGCAATGCTGGATGAATCCACTCCCAACTTTTCTGTTCTGTATAGTCTAGGGAAAGAGGGGAGAAATCTGTGTTGAGATGACCCAGGACCAGGGCTTGAAGCCCTTTTAACAGGCCCATAGTTGGGAAGATTGGATGAAGATGGAATCTCCCTTCCCCTTGTCTATCCTTGTTACTTGAACAATCTCAATCTTTAAGTGTGACTATGGAGGTGAAGGGTAGGCAGGAGAGGAATTTCCTTGGTCTGGGAGCTTGTGGATACCAAGGATTAAAATTGATCCCATCTCACTCACAGGCCAGCCCAGAGCTCAGGCCCCATACCACCACCCTTAGTTCCTGTTCCCAGGGCTAAGGTAAAAACCATGCCAAAGGAAAGGGCCAGGCTGTGTGTGTGTGTGTGCGTGCGTGTGGTGTATATGTGTAGTCTGTCTCCTAGCTAGTCTGTGTGTTTTTCTGCCATATGTCTCTGCCTGCTGTCTGTAAAATCTCATAGGGAGAGGGCCTCAGGGAGCCACCGAAGGGTGCTGAGCCTGGCACCTTTCCTCCCAACATACCCACTCAGTGCTTTCCTCCCTGCCCCTCCTACACTGGGCTCCAATGACATTCTAGGGTCTTAAGACCGAAGGCACATTCAGTGCAAGGGAAGGAAGGATGAGGCAACTCCATCCTCTACTGCCCAAATGAAAATAAATAAATAAATAAAAATAAATCAAGGGCCACTGGCTCCCCTGTTTGTCTGCCTGTGTAGCATGCACGTGCCTGTCCTGGAAAGTGGGTGGGGGCATGGTGCCAGGGGCCCTGGCTGTCCTCACAGCCTGGGTCAAAATCTTGGCCAGGGCATCTTGGCGCCAGCCTGGCTCTCTGGTTCTGCTGACACTGTGCTAGTTGGAGTGGGTCTCCCTTCTCTGGTCACATGTGTGCATGAGGAGAGGTAGTTTAGGAGGATGGGGGAGGGTAGTGTTTGCCATTGTCCAAATTTGTCCTTGATGCAATTTCCCTATGCACAGGTGCCCAGCAATATTGGTGACCTTTAGTTACCCAATGTCCTCTACTGCTGCCTGCCTCCTCCCCTATCCATCACAGACCTGCTGCCTGCTCCAAATGATCCAGATTTCCCTTCAAGTATCTCCTTCTTCTGGGACTTTAGGCTTAGTTGAACAGCTGGGAGGAATGGGAATAGATTGGCTGATTCATACTTTAGACATAAAGCCCTGTCAGATTAACATGTCACAATACTCCAGGGGCATTTGCATTTTAACAGGCAATGCCCTAACCCTGAAGAAGAAAGGAAAGCCTTGGATGGTGGTGAATATGCCATTGGTAGAACACATTTGTGGGAATGTGATATAGGACACTCAAGTCTCATAGGTGTTGGGTGAATCAATGATATTTCAAACTAGGGTTTCATGTATTTTGTTTTTTGTTTTTGTGGTGCTGGGGATTGAATCTAGGGTCTCGTGCATACTAAGCTTGAACTCTACCACTGAGCCTCAAACTAAGGATTTCTTCCCCTGCCTGCATGGTACTAGGGATTGAACCCAGGGGCTCTCTACCACTGAGATACGTCTCCAGTCCTTTTTCTATTTTATTTTGAGACAAGGTTTCACTAAATTGCCAAAGCTGGCTTGGAACTTATGATCCTCCTATCTCAGCCTCCCAAGAATCTAGAATTATAGGTGTATGCTACCTGCCCAGCCAAACTAGGGTTCTATGAGATCCCTGGTGGAGAACAGGAAGGAATAAGGAGAGGAAGAAGGCTCAATGACCCTAATTTCAAGTGCAGTAACTTAAGATTTTTTTTTATTTTAAAGAAGGATTCTGCTGTAAAATATTTGAAACTGGATGATGAGTCCCTTCTAGCTTTAATAGTGGGACCCCTGGGCACCAAAGAGGCAAAGTCCTGATCCTTTCAAACCTCAGAGTGCTGAACACAGACCTACTGTGTGTGAAGAAATGGGATTGAGCAGGATGCAGAAAAGGATGAAGTCTTCAAGACTTGCCCTATGCTGAGGGGAGTGGGAGAGTGCAGTGTGGCTGTGGAGGAGGGGAAGGCAAGTCAAGGCACAGTCAAAAGGAGGTTGTCACTCCTTTGTGGATGGTTTTGGAGCTTGGTTCATCTTACACTTGAATCCGTAATCTAGGCCCCTATTGTACTCCACTCTCAGGAGTAGTAAAGGGTAAGCTCAGTGAGTTTATTGTCCTGTCCCTTCCCAGATGTTTACATTGACATACCCCAGAGAGCAAATTGGGCTTTGTACACTGGGGCCATGCAGAGAAACGCCAAGAAGCCCCACATTACAATAGCCTCCAGATGCCTGGGCCGGGCTGGAGCTCACATCAGGTGCTTTGATTTCTTCTGTAGGTTCTCAGTGATTGATGTTAGAATTGACTTGTCATCCTTGTCTGAAAGGTCAAAGCAAATATTTGTTAGTGTTAATGATGCTAGGGGCCAGGGAAACTACAAACTGCTGGGCTTAGTTACTATGTTACTATACAGGAACTGGGAACTGGACTTTGGGACCCTCAATCTGGGGTTGGCTAAGCAGGGCAGGGATCAAGAGCTGTCCCTTTTTATTTTGGCACCAGGGATTGAACCTAGAGGGCTTAATCAGTAGCTACATCCCAGCCCTTTTTATATTTTATTTTGAGATGGGGTCTTGCTAAGTTGCTTAGGGCCTCACTAAATGCCTGCAGCTGGCTTTAAATTTGTGATCCTTCTGCCTCAGCCTCCCCAGTTACTAAGAATACAGGTGTTTGTCACTGTGCCAAGCAAGAGCTGCCATTTTCTGGGGGACGGGTACTGGGTACAGGGGCACTCAACTACTGAACCTACATCCCCAACCCTATTTTGTATTTTATTTAGAGTAGGCTCTCACTGAGTTGCTTAGCGCCTTGCTGTTGCTGAGGCTGGCTTTGAACTCGTGATCCTCCTGCCTCAGCCTCCCTAGCTGTTGGGATTATAGGCATGTACCACCGCCTGGCAAGAGCTACCATTTTTTTCAGCACTGAATATTTAACCATGCATTGTGCCAGGCATTGCCATGTATTATTTCACTGAAGCCCCACAGCCTTATGAAATATGTGAGATAAAAGAATCCAGAAGTTTGCCATGGTTATGTGGTTGGTCAGTGGTGGCATCAGGGCCCTGGGTTTGTGTGCTTAGAATCAGAGTTAAATCATCAGGGATCTCTCTATCTGTGAAATCAAAGCTGTATAGCTCCCACAGTGCCTGCCCTGGCCTAGTTCTGTGCAGTTTAGCAGCCACTCCAGAGGCATCATTATCTTAGTGCCACTGAACTGAGCACTTGAGAGACAGAGCCAAAGGACATGGTTCTTTCCCCAAGGAAAGGCATCTATAACTGGATGGAAAGAGGTCTGTAACCATGGAGACCACAACAATTGAGCACCACTCACCTCTGAGAGTTGACAGAGTGACAGAGGATGAGGATGGAGAGAGGAGGGGCAGTGGGAGAGACTTGTTGGTTAGGGACTTTATTTTGAGGATCAGGGGAAAGTTAGGGGGGTATTTAAGCAAGAGGAAGCAAAGAGGTTAGTTTTTTTGGGGTTCATTGCTGGCTATGTGTGGGAAGGAATGAAACATTTCCCTCTATGTGCACACATATGAGCGGAAATAAGACATGCATATGCAAGAGGGAGGGGAGCATTCAGTCCCTCTGCTGTTTGTGCCTTCCATTTGTCCTTGCCCTAGACCAATAGTTTTCAATCTTGTTTGCACATCAGAATCACTTGCAAAATCTTGTAAACATACAGAGTCCTTCCTGAACCTTGCTAGAGCGATTGTGGTTGGTGAGTCTGGTGACCATCTTTTCTAAAGGTGGTCTAGGATTACCAAAGGTTGCAAACACAGCTTACTAAAGGATCACAAACTTACATCTGCAGGGGCCAGGAACATAACAAATGATATTGAGAGGATCCAAGAGTGGTAAGAACCCTGAAAATATTTGCACCATCAGATGGCAGTTAGAATAAAAAATGGTGCTAGCCAAATGAAGAGAGTTGATTAATGGCCCCAAAACTGAAATAACTGCTTGGCACTCCTGCCCCTGACAGGATGGACTCTTCGGGGCCTTACCATAGACGGTAAGTGTGCAGCTGCTGCGGTCCTTGCCAAGTTCATTCTCCACCAGCACGCTGTACTCCCCACTGTCCTTTAGTGTGCAGGTGGGAATGACAAGGGTGCATACTCCACTCGTGGAGTTGTACCAGAACTTGGAGTTGGCCGTGATGTTGACATCACCCTTGTAGAGGGTCACTGTGGGCCGTGGGTTCCCAAGGAAGGCGCAGGTCATGGTGCAATCCTGGCCTCGGAGCACCATGTGTGGCTTGAGCGGAGTCAGGAAACGAGGTGCGTGGCGCCAGTCCTTCTGCTGGTATGGCTTCAGCTTGGTGTCCAGGTTTTCAACTGTGCAGGAGGGATGGGGTGGATGCCTGTGAGTGGCTCCCTAGCTGCCATCCCTGTCTTAGAGCTTGGAAGGCACCTGGAGACCCAGCCTACATGAAACCCCAAGGACTTGGACCAGATTCTCAGACACCATCAACTCTGGAAGCCCTGATGTTACACTGGTTCCTAAAGGCTCTACCACACTACCCCTCCCTACCCCAAGCCATTCTAGAGTTCTTTGACCTAAGCAGGTTCACAGGTTTTTATACTCTCCCAGACCCCAGGAGCTTAGATGTCTTTCCAGTGCCAACTCATCAGACCTGGGTATTCAAGCTGTTATCCTGGCCTCTAACTCCCCTCCAAACTTCCCCTCTATCATTTTAGCTTCCATTGCCTAGTATTCTCTGTTCTGTCCCATTTAGTCCCTCATTTCCAATTTTTTTCTGTTATCTCCACCCTAAATTTCTTCTCTTCATTCCTGCTCAGACTTCATCCCTGCTCCTCATAGTCAGTCCCCAGCCCTCACTCCTATAAGCCCCTCTTCAGAGCAGACCTAGAGTCTCTGCTCTAATCCCCTCTCTACCCAACCCTATCCCCCTGCCATCATCCCCGCCTCAAAAATAGGGTATCTACCCATCTCCATGTTTGTATCATCCCTCAAAATGCCCCTAAGATATCTTCTCTAATAAGTACCCCTAACATTGACTTTCCTCAGTGTCTCAGATATTAACTCTTCCATCTCAATGGATCTCTGATTTTGTTTATATGTTTATGGATTCTGGAGATTTAACCCAGGGATGCTTTACCATCGACCTACATCTCCAACTCTTTTATTTTTTTATTTTGAGACAGGTCCTCAATAAGTTGCTGATGATAGCTTTGAATTTGCCATCCTCCTGTCTCAGCCTCCCTAGCCTCTGAGGTTACAGGTGTGTGCCAGGGTTCTCCGATTTTTATCTCAACTCTTGCATACCCCTTTGTGACCTTTATGTCATCCCCACCATCAGGGCTCCCAGATGTAATGCAAACCTCAAGCCCCTACTTACTGTGGTCCTTATTGATGAGCCAGGTATCCTTGGAGTCCAGTGGATCACTGTCACCAATTTCATTCCTGGCTACCACTCTGAAATAGTACTTTCTGCCTGGGAGCAGCCCTGTCACTGTGTATTTGTTGCTGAAGACACGCTCAGCTGCCGTGAACCATGTGGGACTGCTGGCATCCCGCTTCATGATGACATAGTGCGCATCACCATCTTCCTGCACATCAGGGCTGTGGTTCCAGGTCAGAGTCACTGTGTTGGGGACCTCCTCAAACAATTGTAGGTTTGTAGGAGGCCGGGGGAAATCTGGAACAATTAGAAAGTCTATCAGCTACCTGGGGGCTGAAGTATTATGTCCCTATCCTACCTACTTGCCCAGCCCACTGGAAAAAAGGATGAGGCACTTCTCTTCTTTGATTCATAGGCAGCAGATGTCTTGGAGCTAGACAAGCCTCATTCTGTTACTCTGACAGTAACATAAATGTTACTCTGACATTTAGTAGCCCTGTGACCTTGGGCAAGTTATTCTTTGAGACCCATTTCCTTATTTGCACTATGAAGAATAACAATGACTACTTGCTTCATAGGAATAATGGATACACTGCATGGCATGGAGTTACTACTACTCAATAAAAGTTTATCTTTTCTTCTTTTGGAGGCTTAGAGCTTTATTATAAAGCTTCCTGTTCTCTCTAAGATGTCACTCCAGTTATTCATGGATTCATCTCCCTTTGTCCTTCCTGCCCCTCTCCCATTCTCTAGTCTCTCTGCTGACCATATTCTCATGTCCCAAAGCTCACCAAATAAGACTGAAGAAACTGAAACAATGGCTTGGTCCTAGTTGAATATCAACCAGAGGGGCATCGGGCCTTTGAGAACCAGAGGGGAATCAAACCTCATCACTAGGCAAAGGTGATAAAACCTTTATAGTGTCAAAGAAGGCTTCCTTAACCTAAAGCCCACTTTCCAGCAGGAGGAGCTTAAACAGCAGTAAGCTACATTTGGAATATGCAGGGATATCTCCTGGGGCCTTCTGCCTGCTGTCCATACCTGTCACATGCACGTGAATGTCATAGTGTGCCTCTCCAAATTCATTCTGGAGCAAGATTCGATACACCCCTGAGTCAGAGCGCTTGGTGCTATTGATGAGGAATTGGGAATGGTTTTTGCCTTTGGTGATCGTTTCCCGGCCCTTTGTAGTGATACCATCTTTCTTCCAGATCACATCTGGTGGTGGTGAGCCCTGGGTGGTGACAGGAGGTGATACCATCAATCACCCAGATGGTATTTGGGAGAAGGCCCTCTCAAGAAGTCTCCTGCCAGTCTAGTGCCAGGAATTGGGCAAGGGGGAACAGAGTCAGAGGCAGAGACTATGATGTCTACAATAGTCATCTTGGTTATGTGGAGGGTATATGGTGGCCAGGGTCAGCAACAACTCACGGAGAAGGCTGCATGGATGCAGAGAGCTGTCCCAGCACGAACCACCATGTGACTCTTCAGCCGTGCACTGAGGTCAAACTTTGGGGCAGCTGAGATGGAAGAGAAAGAAGTAAGGGCATGGACCTCTTTCCAGAAGATTCAGTTTAAGACTTCCCTCCAAAGCTTTCCCAACCTCTGCTCTTTCCTGGGTCCATTAAAGGACATCAGATCTATAGATGCCCAGCAACACTGTGAAGCATTTATTTGTTTCCTGTCAGTCTCCCTCTACTACTATGTAGGATCCTAGAAGGCAGGTCTTGTGTCTTGTTTATTTCTATATCCCTGACACTGCCCTTGGCTCACAGTGGATAATATTTGGCACACAATGAGTGCTTATGTTTTTCAGCTGGGGAGCTTCTGGGGTTACTTCTAACTCTGTCCAGGTACAAGGCACAAGTGAAAAATGAATTTTTTTTTTCTCGAGATGCTGAGGATTGAATTCATAGCCTCATGCATGCTAGGCAAGTGCTCTACCACTGAGCTATAGCTATAGCCCTGGATTACTTTTCCTTGTTCTTCTCTTTTTGTTTCTGAGATGGGGTCTTGTTATGTTCTTCAAGTTGCTCTGAAACTCCTGGGCTCAAGTGATCCTCCTACCTTAGCCTCCTGAGTAGCTGGGGCTACTTTGAATAACTCTGTCTTGATATAGCACCACCCAATTTCCCCCTGTGGGATGAGACCCTTGAGAGGAAGGTTTGGAGCTAGAATGATAGGCCTGAACCCTCAGCCCTCTCTGTCCTTACCTGGTGGTGGCATGGCACGAACCCCTTCATCTAGCTCCACAGGCTCCCCAACCCCAGCTTCATTCACAGCCCGGATACGGAAGAAGTACTTCTGCCTCTCAGTCAGGCCCCCCACTGTGTAGCAGGTGCCTGAGATGGGGATTTTTGTGCACTTGGACCACTCCTTGCTGTCTTCAGCCCGCATCTCAAGGATATAGCCAGAGGGTGGGTCTCCTTCTATAGGCTCCTGCCAGCCCAGGGAAATACTCGAGTTGGATGAATCAGACACATGCAGTCCCTGCACCAAGCCTGGGGGTTCTGGATAGGACAGACATCCAGTCAGTCCCCAACTGATCCCACTCACCCTCCCATTCATCTCCCCAACACCCTCACTCAATCTCAACAATATCTTTACTACCTCACCTGACCATGCCTATTTCCCACCCTCAATATTCCTGGGCCCTAACTTTTACCACTTCTACTACCAACTCCTATAGCTCACATCCTTAAAACTCAACCTTTCACACCCAACAACCTCCAAATTCAATTCTTTTACCAATTCAATAGTTTCATCTTTAAAGTTAATATTTAATATTCCTCACACAAATTCACATAACCCATACATTTAAAACACCAACCTTTAACCATTTCTACTATATCCATTTATAGGGAGTACCATGACCTCATCTTCTAAACTCATCCTCCTAATCATCTCCCCAACACCCTCACTCAATCCTCAACATACCTTTTCTACCTCACCTGACTGAAATGTTTAAAGCTTGATAATAACTTTTCCCACACTGACTCCTCACTATTCCTGATGCTCAATCTTTATTTTCTTTCCTTTTTTTGGTACTTGGTATTAAATTCAGGGATGCTTTACCACTGAACCACATCCCCAGCCCTTTTTTAAAAAAATTTTAAATATTTTATTGAACTTAAATAATTGAATATCCAGCCATTTTCCCCAGCCCTTTTAAAAACTTTTTATTTTGAGATAGGGTTTTGCTAAGTTCTCTAGGGCTTCAGTAAGTTGCTGAGGCTGGCCTTGAACTTTTGATCCTCCTGCCTGAGCCTCCCAAGTCACTAGGATTACAGGCAGGCGTGCACCACTGAGCCCAGCTGGCTTTATTTTGTGTGTGAATCCTGTCCCTCCACAAGCCTGGAAGTTTCTAATGAAGGAGCCTGTATGATCTCTTCTATCAGACTTTTCCAGGGAAGAAATTCTCTCTGTGCTTTATGAGCTAATTCTATTATGTGTTGAGGCTGGCAGCCCCATACTCACTAACAGGATCCTTGGCTACCACTGAACTGGATGGCATACTGGGCTGTCCAGGGCCTGCCTTATTCACAGCTATAACTCGGAATTCATATTCTGTGTCCTCCAGGAGACCATCCACGGTATACTTGGTACCTAAAATGGGGAGATGAAGGGTTTATGAGTCCAGGAGCATCCATGGAGTGAGAGGTCAAAAAGTGAGATATCTTAGAAGAGGAGGTCATGAGATGCTGTTAAAATACTCAAAAGAGTAGGGGAAAGCAGAAATTCAGAGTAGCAATGGGTCCCCTCAGCAAGATTTCCTTTGGTCCCTCTTGAGCTTCTGCTCCAAGGACCTTACCCTGTACAGGGTCCTTGTTGACTGGTACCCACAAGTTACTGCCTTTCTTTCTTCGCTCCACAATATAGCCAAGCACTGGGGCTCCCCCATCCTGGGTAGGGGCATTCCATGTGATGGTCACAGTTTCTTTGGTCACATCAGTCACTTGAGGCTGGGAAGCAAAACCTGGGGGTTCTATGGAGCCATGGAGAGGGCAAAGGTTAGGAGAGGGGAGCACAGAGACTGTTGTTCCCCCATGTTGACCTCTTTCCCCTAAAAAAACCTGATTGATACTTAACTTTGGTTGTACTTTATCATCAAGTAGGGTATAAAAGGAAATCCACCACTGACAACTAATGAGCTTCTGGGATTACTTCTAACTCCAGAAGTAACCCTATCCTATCTAGAAGCCCTGTCTAGAAGTAGGACCCAGTAATGTCTGGGTCCTACTTATAGATATTCTAATTTAATTGGCCTGGGGTAGAGTGCAGGCATTAGCATTTTTTAAAAACCCCATGTGATTCTAATATACAGCCAAGAGTAATGATCACTGACTTAAACATTCCAACCATGTGACCCCCGTTGCTACAGTTTTCATTCTACTGTCTTGACACACTGAGACCTGGAAATCAGTTGGGAGGGGTGTAGCAAGTAATTAATTAGCAGTCATAATTAAAATGCCCATATTGTCAAGGGTTTTCTTTGGGAAAATATGAAGAGTATCTTCAAAATTATCCCTAAAGTGACATTATGTTCCCTTGGATTCTAGGATGGTATCTAGAATGGTAAAAAAGTGAAGTTAGTTCTCTGGAATTGTGCATATCTAGGTATACCCAAGGGGATATGTTGCATATGTGATCTGACAGGAAAAAGTTTAGAATTCCTGCCCGAAATTATGTTCTTTTCTTCCTCTACAATCAATCTATTTCACGGGTCAGTTAGATGATCCTGTGGAATTCCCCATAGTCCAGTGTTCCCCACTGGCTGAAAGACCCCAGCCTGACCCCTGGCTGAGCCCCTGAGTACCAGGCAATCTCACTGACCTATGGGATTTCCTGCAAATACTTCGTCAGTCTCCAGGGGGTCACTCACACCCTCTGAATTGACTGCCAGGATACGGAACTGGTAGGCTTTTCCCTCTTCCACCTTGTTGGTGGAGAAGTTGGTGACTTTGCCATCCACCTCGCCTATCTTAATCCAGGATTTCTTGCCAACTGCCCTCCGTTCCACTATGAACTGTGTCACAGGTCGTCCTCCGTTGTCCTTGGGGGCCTTCCACTTCATGTGCACACAATTACCCGAGAGCTCCAGGAACTCCACTCTGCCCTGCGGAGGCTTGGGGCGGTCTGAGGACAGAGAACAGCTTTACAATAGGGCTTTGAAGCAAAGGATCAGAAGAGGCTCCTCCCACTCACCAGATGTCTGGCCAGCCTGAAGCATAAATGGATTCTGAGCTTTCTGGATCTCTTGCTTTTCCCTGTGTCCATTAGCCTTCCTCCTAAGACTTTCCAAAAGAATTTGATCCTTGCCCTCTGAACCTCCTGCCTGGATAGAAATGGGTGGACTGCACCCCTCTGGGAACTCTTGCTTTAATTGGTCCTCTGGTATCTTTCTTGACAAGTTCTCTCCCTCTTTTGAGCTTCCAGAACACCAGTGATTTCTGGCATCACATTCTACCCTATAATTACTTGTCTATCCCTTTTGGGTTGAGGTACTGTTGGGGATACTTCATCGCTGCATCTCCAACACTGACAACACAGAAGAGGCACTCATTCTTGCTGCTGAATTGAATTAAAACCCAAACCTTTCTACCCCACAGTGGTGGAATTGCAGGCAGGGGAGGTGGTGATAGGGTGTGCATATATTGGAGGTTGAATATAAGTTCATTAAGGCCAGCTCCTCATCTTATTCCTTATCCCAATGTTCAGACCAATCCCAAATCCCAGTCCCATCCCCATCCAGATTTCCCATTTTATTTATTTCCCTACCCTTTCACCTCCACCTCACTCCATTTCTTTTCCCACCTCACTTTTCCCCAGCGAAACTCACCTCCATTCCTAAAATCCCACCTCTCTTTCTCCTCATTTTCTCCTAAACTTCCAGCCATGTCTTTGTTATTCAGTCAAGAATAATACTTAATAACATACTGAAAATTCTACTCTGTGCTGTGCACTGGTTATACACTTTAAAACCACTAAAAATTGATAATGTGGGGAGAAAAACATCACCCGTTCCTGGTGGGAAACAGGCTTGAGAAGCCCACTTGACCAGGGTTACTTAGGAATTTTGGAAGTGGTCCTCTTGTTGCTAAGTCAGCACTTCAGCCCCATCCCCTGACCAAACAACTCTGTGGTGGTCCTCCTCACCAGCCTGCCGCTTGCCCTGAGTGCTGGGCAGACAGTGCCTCCAGACAGTCCTGCCAGGCCCTTCCCTTACCCAGCACACTGAGGTGCAGAGTGGCTGTGGCTGTGCCGTAGTCATTCTTGAGCTTGAGCAGAACCAGGCCACTGTCTTCACGCACGCAGTTTGAGATGGTGAGCAGTGCCTGGTCTTCCCCGCGCTCCATGGACACGCGTTCCTCCTCCGTAACTTCCATGCCGTCCTTGTACCACGTCACTTTGGGCAGTGGCTTTGCCCGAAAAGGCACTTTTATGTGGGCCGTGTGGCCTACCTTCACAGTCACAGGGTGTGCAGCTAGTGCCTCCAGGATTGAGGGGTCGATGGCAGGAGGATCTGTAGAGGAGGGCAGCAGGGTAGGCTTGCCCACCAAGGATGGGGAGGGGTCAGTGGGGGAGGGGCCATGAGCATGTGGGCAGGCCAGGAGTCCTTGCAACTCCTTGGACAGGACCTTACCTGCGATGAATACCGAGGCTTCACTCTCGGCGCCCTTGGCTCGGAATGTATACTTGCCCTCATGCTCCGGGCCCATGTTGGGGAAGATGAGCTTGTGCACTGCACCCTGCTTCACGATTTGCACACCCGGCAAGTCAGTGATCTAGGGGACAAGGGGTGGGAGTGAGTGAGAGCGTGGGCCAGGTAGATCTCCTTTGCCCCTTCCCTGACTCCTGCCTCCAACCTCCTTGCCATCCTTCAGCCACACGCCTTCCACCTTCTCGTCATTCAGCACTACGCACAGTTCTGCTGGGCTCCCGGTGGCAGCGTGAACGTCGGACATCCCGCTCTTCACTGTGGCCAGGCGCTCTGGGAAGAAAGGGTCTGGACTGACTCAGGGGGAAGGAATTCATGGGAAAATGGCTGATGGTATTGTAGTGGGAGCAGTTAGGGTTTAGGTGTCTTTCAAAATCATTTATGATGAACAGATGGGTTGGCCTTGGTCTGTAGATTGCTCCATGGTCAATGTGGGGGTGGGAGGGGCTGGTGCAAGTAGGTGTTAGGGGATTTGGGGAAAGGTCAGTGTTTTGGGAAACGGCAGCCAGGAAGACTGAGAGATGGTTAATGGGGGAATTGATTAGTGGAGGATGCTTGGCTGGGACTTAGGGTGTGATGTTGAAGACAGAAATGATGTACATGCAGGTGATGAGTGGAGTTTGGATGTTTAGTTATGGTTATGTTGGTCGATGGGATGCCTAGTGTCATTGGAGTTGAGGTTGGTCAGGGTCAATGAGGAATGGTTACACTTAGGGAGTAGGGGATGGTCAGGGTTGCTGGGGATGTTCAGAATCTGGAAGTAAAAGATGAAGTTAAAGAATTTGGGATAGAATCTGGAAAATGGGGGAGGATCATGGTCTAAGAAGTATGAATGTTCAAGGAATGGGGGATTTGAGATTGTTGGAATTTGGGAGATAGGGGTGATCAGAGTGGGGAGGTACAAGTTGGTCATGATCTGGTGAGGTTTGAAGTCAGTAAGGAGCAGATCAGTGTCCATTGTAAGGAAATTTCTGGGTTAGTGGGTTGGTAGTGTGGGCTGACGGGGTGGGTGTGTACCTTCCACAGTGAGGGTGGCTGTACTACAGTATTCAGTGGGATCCCCATTCTGCATGGCCACCACAGTGTACTCGCCACCGTCGCTGAGCTGTGCATCCTCAATGATCAGTTCTGCTCGCTTGCCCTCGTGGTTCATGCTATACTTGGAGCCATGTGCCAGCAGCTGCCCATCTTTCTTCCATCTCAGTGTCACATCCTTGGAATTCAGCTCACACTCGAGACATGCACGACTCTTCTCTTTCACACGTGCATTTTTGAGAGTGCTCACAAACTTTATGGGGATGCCTGTAGATAGAAAGACACACATACTTTGGCCTATTCCTAAACTCTTAGTATCCTTTTAGTGCAATTATATGCTGCTTTGCCGTCTTTTTGGCCCTAGAAAATGTAAGAACTTGACACATCGAGTATGTTTTTATGCAATACGTGACCCAAGGAACTGCATGGCAGGGAGAGTCCCAGCTCTTCCCTTACTCAGTTGTTGATTTCACACACCTCATTTACCATGCTGACTGTCAGTTTCCTCTTATGTAGCGTGGGATAACAACTTCTACAGCACTGCAGGCAAGATCTCTGATATTGTACCTGCCATGTCTGAACTTTTGAACCTGCTGTACTTCTCTTGGGGATGTTTTATTCTCTCCCCCTTCTCTGAAAGCAGAATTGCTTTTTGTTCTCCTTATTAAGACTTGGGCATTACCTCATCATATCAGTATCTGACATTGCCAGGTGGTGCCCCTTCCTTGTGCTCCCATGGCCTCTATAACTGTCTCCATCACAGCAGTGATGATTCCATGTGGCAGATCCCAGTTGTGATTCATGTGAGTAACATGTTCATTGGTGTACCTACCATCATGTACAAATCTCCAAACTAGCAATAATATTGGAATGCAACATAAATGTGCTGTATGATATGATGTTAAAGCCATAATAATTTCCATGATATCCCACCTCATAAGACTCCAGCATGTCTTGATCCCTAGCCCAAGAACTGCTATTTTAGTTATTTTCACACCTGCCTCCCTTACTAGACTAGGAGTTTTCAGAAAACCCTCTTCCCAGTACCTGTCACATGAATGAATGGACAGGAGGATGTATGATTGCCCTTGCAGAGGTTACTATGGCACAAAGCCCACCGCTCAGGTTCTTCCCCAACCACTCACGGTCAATAGTGAGCTGAGCCTTCTGTACCAGGTTCCCCGCTTGAACAGAGAACTCGCCACTGTCACTGAGTCTGGCATCCTTTATCTTAAGTGTGTGGGTCAGACCATCCTCAGACACTGAGATTTCATATTTGTCATCCCTCTTCAACTCCTTCCCATTGAACTTCCACACAAAGTTGGGCTCTTTCTTTGAGAGGCGGACCTCAAACAAAGCTGTCTGGCGCTCTGTCACCTTTAGTGGCTTCAGATCTCCTAAGATCTTCAGTGGCTCATCTGCAGCAAAGAATGGGGGAGGTTGAACACAGAAGGGAACATGGATATGCAAGTGTCACTGGTGTTCTGTAGACCACCACTGGGGGGAAGCACCCTTTCTTTCATCCCACTGGTGAGCCCTTCTTCTCTGGAGTCTATTCCCAGGGTCTCCTCTCCAGTAATGTTAATAGCCATTTTTTTTTTAATATATTTTAGTTGTAAATGGCTCTTTTATTTACTTATTTTTATGTGATGCTGAGGATCAAACCCAGGGCCTCACACATGCTAGGCAAGTGTTCTACCACTGAGCCACAACTCCAGCCCCTAATAGCAATTTTTTAAAACCTTCTAGCCAATTTGCACATATTAGTTCATCCATTTATCACATATATTTTACCTGATTCCACGTTTTACAGTTTTATTTTTACTGAAGAAAAGAAGTTAAATAACTTGCCTTAAATCTTACAGCTCATAATTAGCAGAAGCTGGGATATGACTTTCCAGTAGTCTAGCTTCAGAGTCTGTGCTCTTAACCAGTATGCTACATGTCCCACGGCACTTATTATCTCACAGTCCTCTCCCTTACAGCTTATTTTTTTTCTTCTATTAACACCCATCTTCTTGCAGTTCTTTCATGCATAATCTCACAGTTTCTTTCCAATATCCCCAAGGACCCCTCCCTGGCCATTCCTCTCCCAGACCCATGTTCATACCCAGCACTGTGAGCTGTGCACTCATCCGCTTATCACCCACAGACAGGCTGTAGACGCCGGCGTCACTCATGTTTACGTTGGTAATCACCAGCATGTACTTGGTGCCCATCTGCTTCACATCATACTTGCCCAGGGAGTATTGGATCCTCAGTGGCTCAGTATCCTGCCTCATGGAACAGGTGGGAAAGCTGATGAAGGGGTTTAGGAGGAGACTTACAGAGCTCCCATTCCCCAAAGCCAGCTTAAGCAGGTGGATGCATTGTCCATCTCTCTAAACATTCTCAGAGGCCCCTATAATCTGGCTTGAGAGATTCCGAATCCCTGTCTCCCCATAAGGCTTAAACTCTTAATATGTATGAGTTCATTAGATGCTTTCTCCTAGAGGCACAGATCTTCAGTGACCTTATGATTATCTAATCTAGCCTTTCAGTGTAAAGACAGGTAGACTGAGGCACAGAGAGAGAAAAGTGACTGTCTTAGATCAAAAGCAAAGTGATGGAAGAGCTAAGAATAAAGTCCAGCTCCCTGCCTCTTTCAACTGTATGAGGGCATTCTCTTGATGGGATGGAAGAGAGGCCCTGGCTTACAGATAATGAGAGGGTCTGAGAACAGAGAGGATGCAAAGAAGAAATTATATTACTAGGGTGGACCCCACCTTGATCCATATCATCTTGACATTGGGGTCCTTCAGCTCCAGGATGCACTCAAAGGTTACTGTGGTATCAATCTTGGTCTCTATGTCTTCCAGGGGCTTCAGAATCCGGATGGCCTGTAAGATTATTTTAATAAAATGGCAAATGTTAGAGCATCTGGAGTATGCCCAGGTGGTTTCCAAAATTCTAGAGGAGACCCCCTAAGGGACTGGGGAGAAATGAGTAGGCTCATTAAATAACTCCTTCCCCCAGGGTCATTGATCAACTAGAAGGTTTAGGAGAAGAATATTATGGGGGATGAGAAAGGAACTGCTATTTGTGAAAGTGACTTTGTATCTGGGCCTATTACACAGATTCTGTAAAGTGTTGATGCTTAATATGAGTTTGTTGAGTGAAGAAATGAATGACAACAACACAAAAACAAATAAAGGAGGAAAGTATAGTTTTCATTTTGCAGATGAGGAAATGGAAACTCAAGAGAGATACTCAAGGTCACACAGCCAATAAAGCAGTAGAGCTGGGATTTGATGCCAGATCTCTATGATTCCAAAGTTCATGCAAGCACACCAGGAAGAGGTAAAGAGAGGAGAGGTAGGAGGAAGTGACTTGAGTTCCTTTCCTGCTCTTGCAGTGGAAAGTAGGCCTCTGAGAATGTGTGTGCAGGTTGGCTTTAGCACTGGCATTGAAGCCCATGCCCTGGCTTGCAGGTTCCAGCCCCCTGCTGGGCACTGACCTCCACTTCCGCTTTCTTCTTCATCCCTTTGAGCTTCTTGAGCAGCCCCCGGAAGTCAGTGAAACCATACTCCATGCAGACCTTTTCAAAGTCTTTCTTGGGCACCTTGGACAAAATCTCCAGCATCTCTTTCTCATCTGTCACTTTCTGCTTCTTCTTGGGGGGTGGAGGAGCCCTGGAGAAAGAGGGGACCAAGCTGTACTAAGTGCCTCCCATCTGAGGACAGAGGGAGCTTTCCCAACTTTGAATCCATGAATTCTTGGAATTCAGGGACCTGTTGAGGGGCCTTTGAAGGCTCCAGCTTGGGTGGGAGAGTGTACCCTGGGCTTCCTAGTCTCACCTCTTCTTCAACATCTTCTTGAAATCTAGTTTTTCTTGACCTGAGGACAGAAAGAGGGGCAATGTCAGACAGAGGGTAGTCTAAGTCTATCTTAAGAGCAAAGGCCAGGAGGAGGGGGCTGTCTCACCCTCTGTCACCAGCAGGGACACGGTGTAGATGGCATCTGCATGGTCATTGCTTGCAATGCACTTGTAGTTGTCGGAGTCATCTGAGGTCAGTGGTTCCAGCTGGATCAGACCATTAGAGGGCACAGGGAGGGAACCACAGAGTGACTTCTTATAAGATGAGGAAAGAGACTTTCTTTGGGGAGGGACTGAGTGTTGGATGGATTGAGCAGCCTCTATGATTTGGAGGTACCAAGTAATAGCTAGTATGAGGATGCCTGTTTTCCACCTGATTTTCTGGTAATAACATTCTCTGTTTGCTTCTCAGATTCTGTCCCTGGGTTGAGAGCTCCTAGAAAGTGGGGACTTTCTGACTTCTAAGTTTTCAGCACCAAATGAACATTTTCTTCATGTAATACATTTATTTACTCCTTTGTATTAGTGGCTGTGCTGAACCCCAGGAAACGGTGAATAGGGTTGACTTGGTGCATGTCTGCAGGTGCTTACAGCTGGGTGGGATCTGGGAAGTCAAGGTAATCATAAGTGCTGCTGAATGAATGAGCTTATATAAGGGGTGGCCAGTAGGGGGACTCTAGGGCAGCTTGTGTGCTTGTGCCAGGCTGAGTCCAGTTAATGCTGGGATTTGGAAGAAGAAGGAGCCAACTTCTGTCAGAGGGATTCTGTCCTTCTGGGACTTTGGGGGAGAGAGGAGATCTTTTTTTCACAAAGGGATGTGGGGCAGGACCAGAGTAATTATAGGGTCGGGAGTAATTATAGGCCTACATCTCCCAGTAATCCACCATCCCTTTCCTCCAACAGCCTGAAGCCAGAGGTTGAAGCCGAGTACCAGCTCTTGGGAAGTGACCCGGAAGCTGATGGGCCTAAGGCAGGACTTTTCTGGGTCCAAAACCCCCTACGCTCACACTGCTCTGGCCAATCAATCCCAATCCCGGAGGCGCTAATCCTCATTCTCACTCTGCCCACTATGATTCTGCAGCTTCCTCCCACATCCACTGATTTGATCTCTCCTTTGTCTTTGGCTCTCTCACCTTCTGGCCCTGTCCTTCTGACTTTGCCTTAGCTAGACCTTGCTGTGTGGGTAATTTTGGTTCCCTTCTTTGACTGGCAAAACCACAGTTCCTGAGTCAGCTTCTTCCAGCCTGCCTGTGCCTTTAGGGTAACAATGTCCTGTCTTCCCACTGCCCAGTTTTTGGGTTGCCCTTGTGGCTCTTTTTTAGGTGTGAGGAAAGGCAATCCGCCCTGGGTTCCCTGCTTCCCACCTCCTTGGTAATGGACCTTGACATCAGGGCGCACCTTCAGCACATGCTCCTTGTTAATGCTGTCGTAGAATATCTTAGCGGACTCCTTGATGGGGATGCCACTCTCTCTCTTCCAGGAGACGTTGGGTTTGGGGTTCCCCTGCACCCGTGCTCGGAACACAGCTTTATCCCCTGTGGTGGGCACAGGACACATTTTTACCTCCGCCCACAGGCTAGACACTCTGCCTGCTCTCTCCTCTTCCTGAAGATCTGGGCCTAGCCCAGCCATGGGGAGGATACTACTCACTTGGCTCTGCCAACGTCTGTGTATTGGGGAACATTGGGTGGGGCGGGTGAACCTAGGGAAGAACCAGGGGATTGGGGAAAGACAGGCAGTGACACACCCTCAGGTAAGGTGATTGGGTGAGGTTTCTCCACAAACTCAGGGACGCTCTCGCCGGCAGGGATGTTGGAACTCCGGGTCACCAAATTGAAGAACTCCACTGTGCTGGAGGACTTCCTCGTCACGACTTCCTCTGTGGGAGCAGGTGAGAAGTCAGAATGGGCTCCAGGTAGGGAGCTCAGTTCTGGATTGGAGAACTCATTTTTGCTTTAGGGGATGGATGGTGGAGCAGGAGAGCCAAATCCAGCAGGTACAGAACCCACTTTCACACAGAAAGAGGGACCTCAGTGCCTCACACATGCTAGGCAAGCATCTTCTACTGAGCCACAACCCTGGCCCCACATAAAAAATAAAAACCAAAACAAATAAAATAAAGGTGTTGTGTCCATCTAATATATATATATATATATATATACAGAGAGAGAGAGAGAGAGAGAGAGAGAGAGAAGAGAGAGAGAGAGAAAGAGAGAGAGAGAGAGAGAGAGAGAGAGCAAGCGAGTGAGAGCTTAGTAGATGGGGCATTGCTATGTCAAATTGTAGCCACTAGGGGACGCCAACTCCTTTCCATTCCTCAATGGTCGATCACCTCACTGTTCCACAGCCCTGAATCTTATTATTTTTATTAAAAAGGAATATTCAGGGACTAGGGATATAGCTCAGTTGGTAGAGTGTTTGCCTCGCATGCACAAGGCCCTGTGTTCAATCCCCATCACCACACAAAAAACAAAACAAAAAGGAGTCTTCCCTGATGTACATCTACAATCTCATTGACTTGGGAAGCTGACTCTTGAGTTGTAAGTGGAAGGCCAGCCTGGGCAATTTAGCAATGCCCCTGTTTCAGAAACAAACAACAACAACAACAACAGCAAAAACCCCACTTCTATTTTAGGATTTCCTTGTTTTCTCGGACTTCTCTTCTGGAAGTCTTTGTACCTCACTAGCATTAATATGGGCCAGACCTTTCTGCTTGTGAGGGCTGTAGCTTAGTTAAGCTTGGCTCCAGACTTTCCCCCCTGCCATTCTGTGGATTCATCATTCATTGTCTTGAAAGTAGTGATTTCCCCCAACCTTCATACTGGGAATGGAGCTTTGGGGTCTTCTATCACTGACATATACTCCAACACTTTTTATTTTGAGATAAGTTCTCACTAAGTTGCCCAGGCTGGCTTTCAATTTGTGATCCTCTAGCCTTAGTCTCCAAGTACTGGGATAAAAGGCATGCACCACCATATCTGGTCTCAGAGTGGTGATTCTTAATTGAAGGACAGGATATAGTCCTATTTCAGCAGGGATATACATATGAATCTCATTATTTGAGTATGTTCACTTTTTATTTATTTATTTTTCAGTGCTGGTAATCCAACCCAGGGCCTTTGCACATGCTAAGCATGTGCTCACTGAGCTATACCTCTAAGCTCCCAAGAGCATATTCAATGTGGTAATATAATTTCCTATTTGGAAAACAAAAAAACTATTTTAGCACTATAAACAACATAAAATCTTCTTAGCTAGTGAGTTATCAACAAATAACAATTGCTCTCATTCATGGGGCATGTTCCTTGTACAAGAAACTATGGTAGGCACATATCAGAGATGATTTTATTTAATATTCACAGCATTCTATGGAAGTAGGTTCCTTTAGCATCCCCATTAATTGGAAGGATCAAGATGAGAAAACAAAACCAACCCATAATCCTATTAAGCTCTCATGGTCTTCTTTGAAATAATGACTGGAGTTCTTAAATAGCTGTGTGGAGGCTGTATCTGGCCTGAAGATGTCTTTTATTTGACCTCTGCAATATGCAGACAAAAAAAAAGCAGCCCTATATCTGATAACTGAAATAGTTCACATAAAAATTCAGATTGCTGTATTCTCAACACTGAACTCGTATTCCCACATTAACAACAGTCAGTGGGAGGTGAGATGTGGCTGTCCTTTAGATGGAGTGTCCTCTCCAGTTTACCCATCTTTTCCCCACATTTATATTCCCTGCATGGACTCTGTTGGTCAGTAGTTTTCAACTCTGGCTACACATCAGAATCCCTGGAGAGCTTTATGAAAATAACTGATTTAATGGTCTGGAGTGAAACTTAGGTACTGACATTCTTTTCACCTTCTCCACCCACTAAACTAAGATTGCTCTATTATGTGACCAGAGAGGAGAACCATTGATATAAATCACTTGAATTTGCAACTTCTGGTTTAGAATTTAGACCTTGGGTCCTGGCTGTTCTACTTACTCTGCCTCATTAGCCAGGAGTGCTTGGTCTAGAGTGTTTATCTGACTTTGACCTTGTGCACAGAGGACTTTGAGAGACTCTATCCTTCTGGAACCTTGAGGGAGAGGCAATGATTGTGAGGATGGCCCCTGGCCATCTTTTAATCACTTTCCACTAGAGTCATTAAACTAAAACAGTCTGCAGTGCTCTGAGACCCTTTCTCAACTTTCTCTTGGATCTGTCTTGGCCCAAGTCTGGTCCCCAAGGGTTAAGAACCTGGGAGCTTAGGTCATTTGTTTATGTGTTCATCCTCTCTCTGCTGGTAGCCAAGTCTCCTGTTTCTTAAATGGAACAGTGTCAGCATTATTCATATGTAGATAAGGTGACTACCTTCCTATCTTTCCTCATGTTGAAATTCTACTATGGGAGACACAGTCCATTAGCCTCAGGTCTCCTTAAGCAATTTAGATTTTATCAGTCTTTCACACACATCCATGTGACTGGTTTTTCTTAATCTGTTTTCCTGGATCTATGGGTGAACAACCAGCTGGGTGAAGATTTATCAAGCCCCAGATTAGAAGCACAGGTGGGGAGGGGGTTGCTACTGGTATTGAGGGCTCCTGAGAGGCCCACTAGTGGCAAGGACTGAGGCTACTCCAGGATAGGTATGGACAAAGAAAGCTGCCCCTTCCCAACCCCCCTTTCTCTACTTGCCTCCCACGATCTTGGTTGTCTGGGAGAAGGTCTGTATGTGGGTGGTGGAGCTGGAGAACTCCATGGACACGTGCTCCTGCAGCATCTGCTGGTGGTGAATGGTCGTCATGGTGACAATAGACTTGAGCACTCACCTGTGAGGACCAGGGGAAGAATGAGGCCACAAAGAACATGGGAGGGAGAAGGAGGGTGATTCAGAGATGTTTGTTCATGTGTGAGTGCATGTGTGTGGGTGGGTGTATGGGCAATGAGAATGCAGAGGAAAGGGTGAGGAGAGCAGGCCTTTGCTCTCTGACCTCTCTTTTCTTTACTTCTTATCCCTTTCTCTGATTGATTACAAGTACCAATAGGCCTGTCCCCTCACCAGGTAACCCAAAACAATTCCAAGTTCTTAGAAGGGGAAGATACAGGGCTGAGAATAAGTAAGCCAACCACGTAGGGTCCATAGGGTGTTGAGGATACCTGTGGACATGGGCGCTTTACCAGGAGGTAATGACGCAGGACCTGAGAAGGAACTTCCTGACTAAGCCATGCTGGAACATGCCTTAGAAGGAACCTTTGGATCTTCTCTCTGGGTCCTAGGGACCCCTGGCTTTGGTGGAATGCTAAGATAGATGACCATTCATTCCCACAGCTTTGCTTTCACTTATGACACAGTAAAGGCAGAGGCTTAGTTTATATTCATTATAATTTTATAACATATATAAGTATAGTTCAACCACATTAAAAAAGAAACTAAAACATCTCCTTCCCACTCCTGGGTGCCCCATCTTCCATGCTCTCCTGAGAGGTTACCGTATGTAGCCTTTAGGCTCCTTCATGAGAACACGGATGTATGTTCTTTTTTTTTTTTTTAATGCCTGGCAGTCTATTATACACACTGTTCTGCTCCCTTTCATTTTTCACTTAATATTATCTTGGAGACCTTTGCATGCCAATTCATAAAGAATTTTTTCATTCTCAACAGATCCACAGTATCCGATAAATGTAAATACCTGCCTCCTTTAACCCGCATATCAATTTTAAACCCTTATTTGGTATATGAGGAAAATTATGTCTAAGAGAAATGACCTGTCCACTGTCCAAGCTTACTCAGAACAGGGTCCTAGCTGCCGCTGCTTCTTCTTCTTCTTTTTTTTTTTTTGTTGGAAATTAAACCCAGGAGTGCTTAACCACTGAGCTATATCTCAGGCCTTTTTTATTTTTTGAGACAGGGTCTTGCTAAGCTGCCAAGGCTGGTTTCAAACTTGTGATCCTTCTGCCTCAGACTCCCAAGTCACTGGGATTACGGGTGAGTGCCACTGTGCCTGGCAATTCATAGTTTCTTGGCTTTCAGGCCAGTGGCCTTCTAGGGAATCAAAAGCCTTCTCCTGAGCTATGTGGTTTGAGACTACCCTCCTATCCCACCTCATTTAAACTTCTACCTTTGGGTTCTGAGACCACTTCCCTGTCCCCTTAGGGGCTCACAAGCTACCAGCCTGTGCCCCCTTCCAGGGGCATGAGGGAAGCCTTACCTTCTGAACTGACCAGTACCTTCCAATACTTGAATGCTGTATCCACAGCTTGGGGTTCAGCTGGTGCCCGAGCTGTAGGGTGTCCGTCTCCTTCTTCTTTGCCCCAAAAGCAGGCACTGAGGATCATCAGTTCCTTAAATACCTGGCCCCCTGGGGGGATCCCTTACTTAGACTCTTACCTCAGCGGGATGGCACACAGCTTCAGGGGTGAGAAGTTGGGGAGGGAAGCAAGCTGGAGGGCTGGAGGAAATACTGGGGACCAGGTGGGAGGGAGGCAGAGGGTGGTGGTCCCTAAGTACGTTTTTTGTTCCTTTGTGGTAGAAGTTTTGCTTCTCGCTGCTGCTGAGTGGACTTCTCTGAGCCGAAGTTCTCATGTCAGTGTGTGTACATGTACATGCTCAGGTATATGTGCATGCACAGCCCAGCAGGGGTTGGGAGCAAAGCCACAGGTCTTTGTTTTTCTGGGATGCACTGGGGAAGTTCTAGGGTATCTGCCACTTGCACCAATCCAAGGGGCTGAACACTACCATGTGTGGTGCATGCGCGGCCTAAGCAGAGAGGAGAGGATTTCTGTACAATTTCTGTAATCTGGGTAGAGGGGCACATCCTTTTGGAGGGAGATCTCTATTGGAGGGTAGCTGGAGAGCATGCCCCCTTCTCTGGGACCTCCATGAGAGCTACTTCAGCCACCCCGCTGTTCTTTTCCTTGTCTGTAGCATACCCTGCACATCTGGACCCACAGCCAACCCACTCAAGGTTCTAGTATCTTGCAAGGCTGGCCAGAAGTCCCACCCTGCACCTCGTCCTGCCCTGGGGTGACCCCCATCTACCTTCAGTGGTGTCACAGCTACTTTTGCTCCATCCCATGGGGAAGGGGATAAGAATAGAGCAGGAGTGTCTGGGATGGCTTAGGATCAGATTCCCTGGGTCCCTTGGGAGGGGCTACTCTCGGTCCAGGCCTTACAAGGGAAATTGCTGGGCTGCAGCTGCTGTTGGGACTGGTGGGGCTACCATGGGATATATGGGCTGACAACAAGGAGGGGCCTAAGTGTGACCTGAGTGTCCCCTTTTCCCAGCCCTGACCTCTCTAGCCCATCTGTTGAACCTAGTGGCCTGCCAGATACTGGGCCTTCTCTGGAAGCATCCCATACCTGTCTTTGAGGCTCCCCATGGCCTAGGGCACCTAGTGGGCTAGGGCTGAGAGTGTGTGAGAATCTTGCAGAAGGGACTTATTTTCAATTTTGGATTTGAGTCTCCACAAGGGGCACCAGTGAGCATGAGCGCCCAGCTGTGTGTGCCTGTGCTGGGAAAGAGGGGCACACAGCCCCATGGAGTGCAGGGGACAGGTAAATCACAAAGACCTGGGAGGCTAGTTTTGCTCAAAATGCTCTGTTTATTGCTCTATTCAATGACCACGAGCGAATTATAAAAAGACACCAAATGTCTCTGTCTGCCGTGGAATAAATATTTAAAGTCATCAATAAAAACACGTGGCTCCAAGATAACACATGTTGCCAAAGAGTCATGCATGCCCAGCTGATGGGCTCTCACCACACGCATGGACACAGGAACACACGCAGAGCGACACACAGCGAGACTTTTGGGAAGGCTTTTCCACAGTGACAGAAAAATGTTTTACACAGATCTGGGGCCAAGTCCCCGTCCCACCCTTGGAGCTCCCCTCCCCAGCCCCCCCGTCAGGGCCCAGATCTTTGGGTTCCCCACCCCCATCTGTCCCCTTCCAATGAATCCTGAGGGCATGTGACACCAAGAGGTCACCCTGGCTGTGACGCCCATCCCAACCCAGAGACCTTCCCTAGCTGGGATCTCTGCCAAACCCTCAGGAGCTCCCCAGGCCTGGCCTCCATGTTGTCAGCCCCATCCTCTATCTACTGGTACCAGTAACTGGGTGCAAAATGCAATTTGCCTGTTGGGAGAAGTGGGAATGGGGGCCTGAGGCAGGCACCTCTGCCTGGGCTGCTTAGGGGCTGGAGCTCATTACTCCTTTCCTGGGCTGAGGAGACACAGTGTCCGGTATAGACAGCAGAGATGGATGGACAGACAGAACACACTGCAGCAGGAGGACACTTGGAGTGAGGCATGGAAACATTTTGGATCAAATAGCAATGGAACCATCATTAAAAACTGAGGCCCCAGGTCTGCATGGTGGGTCAGGCCCTGGGGCCCCAGGCCTGGCCTGGCACATTCCTCCCCCACCCTGCCACACTCCCCAATATGTACAGAAGGAAGAGCTATGCTGGGGGTAGGGGCCAGGCCAGGCTAATAGAGGAGGGAGGGAGCAGATCAAAGAGAAGGAAGAGGGACAGATAGGATCAGGGGAGCAGGCCAGACCCAAGTAAGGCCCTGGATGACTGTAGTGAGGGCCCAGACTCTGGCTGGGCAGTACCCAGTTGGACCTTGGAAGAGAAGTGTGGTCATTCTGGGGATTGGCGGGACAGCTGCTTCTCATAGAGGCTCATGACGTGGTGCACAAACTGGTACTGCTCACACGTCTGGATCATGCCACCCCTGCCCAGCAGAGATGCAAAGTGGGATGAAGTCACTAAGGGATGAGTTATAGGAGGGGGCCCCCAAACCCATGGAGTACTCATCATTCGTGAGGCATGCCAGGGGCCTTGTGCAATTGGAGGGACCAACCCTTGCCAGCCAATGTCCCTGATCTTTCTTGTCAGGGACCCAGATGCTCTTGGCCCATCCTGTCTGCCAGCTCTATTTCTCTTTCCCTTTTTTCCAGAAGAGGAATCATCTGGATCTTGCCCTTCTATCTGCTGTCCTCCATATTCCTTATCTGCCCATTAGCCCATGCCTGGTGTGTCATCTTCCCTCACCCCTGTGTACCCATCAGTGTCCCTGTGTGCCCCCACCACTGCCTGTTGGGCTGACCTGTCCTGACGGAGCTGGCATGTGGTCTTCAGGATGTCCACCACACCTTCCTGCCGCAGCTGCTGGCAGCAGATGCTGGTGGCAATGAAGCAGCCGGTCCTCCCGATCCCTGCACTGAGGGCCGAGGGGATGGGCAGGGTGAGGGGAAGAGTACCCAGGGATGGGGAGGGACCCTATCCCAGTGGGTAGCTAGGAGAACCCACCTGCAGTGGACGATGATGGGGGCACAGTGGGGCCCCTCCTGCTGGGCTGCCTCTTCCACCTCCCGTACTAGGTGCAGGAGTGGGGGAGCCCGGTCTGGGGTCTTCTGGTCCGGCCAGGATGTGAACCAGTAATGCTTCAGGCCTCGCTCTTCGGCCCCACTCTGCCCAGGAGACAGAGGCCCACCCCAGATACATGTGAATGCTTTCAGTCCACAAACCATCCAGAGATGGAGATGGGGTGCAAGGAGGATAAACATAGGAAGGACACAGGAAGTGGGAGCCCTTAGCCCTCCCATCTACACCATACTGCCCAGGGACACCAGATGGGCCAAAGTCAGCTTGGTACTGGGGGCTGGTCTTTAGTTCTGCCCCAACAATTCCAGAATTATCCGAGAGAGGCCAAGAGCTCCTTCTCTAAGTCATTACTGTCTCCAGATTCCAAATATCCTAGTTGTCCCTTAGTCATATGGCCCAGAGGCCTGGGACTCTTCCTTTCTCCAGATTTTGCTCTGCTTGCCTCATCTCACCATCCTTATTAGGTGTTATTTCCTCTCCACTTTGACCTTTACCATCTCTCCACTGCACTGAGATCCCATCTCCTCCCTAACCACACAGGGACCACAGAGGTTGAAGTGGTCTGTTTTTCCATAACACAAATCTGGATTTGCCACCCTGTGCTTAAAATCCTTTGCTATGGACTGAATGTGTCCCCCCGCCCCCATTTCCCCACACCAAATTCACACGTTGAAACCTATTTCCCAGTGTGAGGGTATTTGAAGATGGGGCCCTTGGAAGGTGATTCAGTCCTGAGGGCAGAACCATCGTGAATGGGATTCAAGTACTTATATAAAAGGCTCCAGAGAGCTTCATCTTTTTGCCATGAACCAGGAAGTGAGCCCTCAGCAGAACCTGACCATGCTGCTGCTTTGATCCCAGACTCCCCAGCCTCTAGAATTGTGAGAAATAAGTCTGTCATTTATAGGCCACTCAGTCTGTGGTGTTTGTTATAGCAGCCTGCACAGACTAAGACACCCTTCAATGGCTCTTATTGCTCTCTGAATAAAACCCATTCCCCTTAGTTCTTAGCTTGGCAAATGAGACCTCTGGCATAGGCTCTACCCTTCCAGGCATATATGCCACCCTGTGTACTTGAAATGGATGCTCCTGAAAATGGTCTGTGGATAAAATATCTCTAGCACAGCATCTGGATGCGTGCACATGCCCAGCAGCGCGCGCGCAAACACACACACACACACACACACACACACACACACACAGCTGTTTCTCTGCTGGGAATGCTTTTCCTGCTTGTCTGTCCTCAGTCAACTCTTACTCATCCTTTGAGTGTCCATTCAGCATCACTACTTCAGCATCTCCCTGAACATGCCAGCTAGCAGAGAGTCCTTCTGCATTCTTATCTATCTCTAGCTTCCTTATCACCTTCTGTGTGCTTCTTGAGCAGAGTTCAGGCTTTGGACAGCTGTGTTCCCAGGATCCAACCCAAAACCAAGCTCAGGGCAGGTGCTTTTAATGGTTTATGGACAAAAATAAATACCCTCAAACCTCAGATGCCCTGTTTTTTTTTCCTTGACCAGCTCCATGGCATTGAGAAGATGAGGCAGCCCCCAACCCTCTCATCTCAGTCTTTCTTTCTGGGAAATTTCTACTTGGAAAGCTGTTCCTCAGGTCCTTGGGTAACTTGACTGTGACAACTACTATAACCTCTGATCTTTACTCCCTGGCCCTTCATGCCCTCCAGAAAGATCTATAGGGGCTGCTATGGTGGGTACTCCCCTCTGGGGGCTGAGGTGCCCCCTGACATTCCTTTACAGTGGAAGAGGGACAGCTCAGAGGGACAAGTTTCAGGCCTTGAGCTCACTTTCTGTGGCTGGACCCTGTGGCTGTCACCACTGATGGACTTCCCAGGTTGCTTGCAGATTGGGTGTCACCTTCTTGGTGCCTGCCTCACCTCTTCTTCCCTTCAGAGTTGTTATTAATAGAGTCTACTTCCCCCAAACTTGAATCTTATCGTTTTTCAAAACCAGAACTTATTAATCTCCCTGATTCCAAAGGAACAGTCTCTTCTGTTATGATGATCCTGGAGGAAGTACAGCTCAGGGTGGGAGGATTCCTTCCCCCACTCTGGGCTGTTTTGTATTGCTCATATTTTGTGTAGCTTCCTTTTTCTTGACATTTTCTGTTAACCATGGAAGCGCCTGACCCCTGGTGGACATATTGGGTATTACATACCAGAAGCCCAGCATCCCAGTTGAAGTGATGTTTCTAGTTTGCATCTCAAAGTCATAATGAGCCTTTAGTTATAAGGACAATGCTGGAGGTTGCTGAATTCTCTCACCCAGTCTTGGCCTAGGGAGCATTTAAAGCTGAGCTAAAAGTCATTATGAATGGCAGCGTAGAGAATGAGCCCAACAGCATTAAATGCAACCACAGTTTGGGAAATGCAACGGGGGTTTGGTCTGGCCTCTCCATTCACCACTCCCTCACCCTAGCTCATCAGTGAATTCTGGGAGTGACAGAGACCTTTACATCAGCTACATTGTACTCTTGGGCCTTGTTCTCTGTGTAGTCCTCAATTAAACCCCCATCCCCCATCCTACCAGCCCAGCCCAGCCCCAGTCTCACCCTGAGGGAGATGAGTCGTAGCCGGTAATCCTCTGTGTGAATGACTTTCTGCACAGTGATCTCCACGCCGTCATGCACCACCTGCTCCTCTGGCCAATACTCAGTGCATTTCTGCAGGGGCCCAGATCAGGTTTGGATATATCCCACCCCCAACCCTGCTTCCCTCTTATTCTCTCGCTATGATTCTTCAGAGCTGAGGAATATTCAAGTTTGCTGTCAACATTGGGTGTAAACCTCAGCTTCATCATCTAAAAGCTAATTGTCTTCTCTGAGCCTCAAGTTTCCCCATCTGAAAATGGAAATAATACCCATTTTGAAAGACTTCTATGGGGATTCAATTGAATGGGTTACTATTCCATATAGACATAGTCCTGGCAGCCTTGTACTTACGATCATGTGCACTGGAGTGGGAGAGACCAGGTCTAGGCATTGCCTCTGAGTGTGTGGCACTGAGCAAATGATTTAACCTTACTGAGCCTCACATCTCCTCATCTGGCCAGTGGAGCGAACACTACCAGTCTCACAAGATTGTCATAAGGATTAATATGAAAACAAGATGCTTGGTGTAGGGCACAAAAAAAGCAGACACTGGCAAAGTGGGGTCCCTACCTCGTTCATCTCCTCAATGTTGGTGATCATGACAATGATGGGCGTGTGCTCCTGCCACACCATGCGCCAGAAGTCAGCGATCGTGCTGACAATGGGTCCCTGTGTGGCGATGTATACCTTCTCCTCTCCACCGTAGCCCTGTGGCCAGCCAAGTCCAAGGTCAATGTCAGAGGCAGTGCTCTCAGGGTCCTGTCCCCATCCCAGGCTTTTCTGGGGTTTGCAGGAGCCAGACTGGAGGATGGGGTCCCATCAGCTCAGGCCTCTGTTTCAGTGGGAGGCCATTGGGATGGGGCTACATACCCGGATGTAGTTGGCGTTGATGTAGGAACTCAGAGGATCATCAGGGTCGGGCGAGGTGAGACACACTCTGCTATGAGGATCTGTGGGGGACAGGGGAGGCTATCCCATCTCTAGTTCACTTAACCCCCTCATGGGTGCTGCTAGGGCCCACCATTCCTGGTCTACTCCAAAGCACCACATTTCTTCTGCGATCCTACAGTTCTTCCTTCTCCTGCACACTAGCAAAATGATGACCCATCCTTGGTCCATTCAGGCAGGTGATAATCCAGGATGAAGAGGAGGACAGAGAAAGAGGCCCTGGGTCTCACCTCAATGCCTGCCCTCTGCCCCTGAAGCTGCCCTGTACTCACTCACACCTTGTATTCTGGAGTGAAGAGAGCTAGTTAAGGAAGGAATGGCCTGGGTACAGCGCCTGGGCAGCAGGCAGCAGCTGGAATACGAGAACACACTGTCACCGACTTCTCCGTGAGCTTATAAAGCACATGGCCTTTTTAAGCCTCTGTTTTCTCATCTATAACATGGGGGTAAGTATACCTCCTTCCTAGAGCTATTGGGAAAATAAATGAGAAAACAGAGGTGGAAGTGCTGAATAAACTGTGAAATTCTTTGTAAATATAAGGGCTTTAAGATTTGGGGGTAGAAAGCTGAGGAGAATACTAGGAGAAAAAGGTCAAGTTTCCCATGTCTGAAATGAGACTGGAGGGTCTTTGTAGAGTTGTGAGCACAAAGGGTCTCCTCCCATAATCTTTTTACTTGTCAAATTCCATGGTAACAGATTCCCATAACATCTTGTTCTTCTTCCTGGAGTAGAATTTGTTTTGTTCCAGCCAGAGCCTCCCTGTATTGACTAGTCTTGAGAGGCTGGGATTGGGACGTTCTGTGGGGTGTGTAGGGAAGCTGGCTGGGGGCCTGGAGCATTGGGTCCCGGTTGTGCTTTGTCACCAGCCTCCTGTCTTGTCCTCTCTCTGAATCTCAGTTTCTCCACTGCAATAAGGAGGGCTGGAAAGGCACTGCCAGTGTGCACATGATGGGGCTCTCAAAGGCAGTGTGGGGGTGTCATTAAGAGACATGACTGAGCCACAGAGCCTGGTCCAAATCCTGGCTCTATGACTTCCCAGCTTGTCAACATGGACCATTTACTTAACCTCTCCTGCCTTATCTACAACTGGGGACATCCTCCTTCTACAGTGAACTCATTTATCTTGTAAAGGTTAAAGGATCTAACATTAATAAATGGAGCCTTTAGATCAGTAAGTAATGTGGGCCACAGTAGACACCACGAGCTAGCTGCTCTTGGGACCATTTTTACCTTAACTGAGTGGATAGAAAGAAGAAAACCTGGAGCAGCAGGAGGGGACATGCTTAAGTCTCCCCCATCCAGCCCTCTGCTTGTCCCAGTTCACTCTCTGGATCTTGGTCAGTGTCTCGGGGGTGGGCACATTTCATGGAGAGGGGCATAGAAGGGTGGCAGGAATGGAGAGGAGTGAGGGTGAGCAGGAGGGGGCTTCTGGGTGAGGAGCAGAGGACAGGAGCAGGAAACTCTGCCTGGGCCATCTCCCTTCTTCCTAGCTGCCCTTGCCCAGATTAGGTGCCAGAAAGACAGAAGTGGGCACCGTCCCCTCTGGTCAGATACCCAGGTCTTTGGTATTAAAGAACTATTGTGGCAATGATGGCCCTTATGGAGCACTGACTCTGTGCCTGGGGCTGTGCATGTGAGAAGGGACTCCTAAAGCAATAAGCCACGGTCCCTCCCCCAAAGAAGGCACAGCATTGGGAGGCAGACAAGTAGTGGCGTGTGAGCACTGGGGCTGTGGTAACAGCGGGGGGCCTGGGTGGGTGGGTGGGTTTCCTGGCTGGAGTTGAAGGAACAGCAGAAAGAACAGGGAATCCTGTCCTGTCAGATACAAGTGCACACAGGGCCAAGGCTGGGATTGGTGAGAGATGTGGCTGGAGAGGAACCAGCTGCCAGAGTCTCATAAACTATGCTTAGAAAGGGTGACAATGACAATGTTTAAGGAGAAGAAGGACATGGTTAGATTTGTTTTGTACCACTCTGATGGCAAGAGTAGAAGACAGACAGGAGAGGAGAATGTGGAGTCAGGAGACCAGTCAGGAAATTACTATGATGATCCAAGAAAGAAATATCAAAGGTCACAGGGCTGCCTGGCATGGCAGGGCTCTGTGGAGCATTTATGTCAATGCAGTCTATGTAAATGGCACCCCTTAGGACAGGGCAACATGGAAGCTCAAACTCCAAAAAGTCACTTTGTGGTGAGGATGGAGAGGGGAGCGAGATTTGAGAGATATTCATTCTCATTCATTCGTTCATTCATTCAAATGGGTGCAGAATATCTACTGTGTGTCAGGCACTATTTTGGTGCTTGGGACACCATGGTGATAAGAACAGAAACTGTGTCCCTGTATCTGGCTCTTGGTGCTGCCGGGGTTAGTGATTCCTCTGACTGTCCATAGACCTCTCTCTCCTACTAGCCTGGGAGCTCCAAGTGCACAGAATCTGTGTCTCATTCATGTCTGAATTCTTAGACCCCAGGCAGGGGCTCAGAAAACATAGATGAAAGAAGAAACCTCAGGGTGTTCTGCATCTAAGAGGGGGGCCCCTGCTAAGCTTGACCTGCCCTCTGTCCCCCAACCCAGTCTCTGAGGGTGAAGGATCTGTTCTTGCTGGACACAGATAAGATTCTCTGCTGGGCTGGCTTGGAAGCCTGGAGGCTCGGGCAGGGTTGGAGGTGGCTGGAACCTGTCAGCAATCCAGTGAGGACCACATGGAGCACGGTCTGACTCCAGTGGCCATTCTGAGTGGCCGGCAAAGCCCTCCTCTCCACTCTGGGGTGCCCCCACCCTTCCTTCCAGGTAGAGCTGGGAAAGGGGAGGGAGAGATGAGGGAAGAGGTGGCAGCCCTGAGTAATGCATCCTGGCCATAAATGGTGCTTTGTTTAACCGGAACTACCTAGAGACTGTGTAACTATAGCAACCACAAGTCGATATTTTAAAAGTTAAAAATAAGTTATGACATCTTACATGTTGTTGGAGATGCTGACAGCGAAACCACTTTTTTAAAGCTTCACTACTCTACAAACTGAGTGGAGTAGGTTTTGGGGGCTCCACTTTCAACAAGTTACCCCCAGGTTAGCCCAGGTGCCTGGGGCCAGACACCTGGTCCCAATCCCTGTAGTAGATAGCCAGGGATTTGATGAAAGTTATCTGAAAATGGTGCCACGGGGAGGAAACTGGAATGCATCCCCAAAGGAGAACCCCCTTCTCAGACCTTCCAGGGGACTGCTCCGGGCAGATTTGCTTGGATGCATTGTGTTATGGGACCTCACGACTTGACAGGGGCAGCTCATTCCCCTGTGGGGTGGCTCTACCTGATGGAGAACTGACAATCTGATCAAATGGAACATGAGGTAGACGAAGAGTCCAATTCTGGGGTTACCAAACTCAGCTCTGTACTTCCCAGCTATGTGACTGTGGATGAGCCACTTAGCCTCTCTGAGCCTTAATGTCCTCTCCTTAAAACCTGCCCATTCTGAAGAGAGAAGAGGATGGGAAAACACTTTTCAGTCACTATATACTATCTAGGAGCCTCCCTTTGTCTCTGGGTTTCTACAGAGCCCAGCACAACACTTGGCCAGGCCAGGCAAGGGCCAGGCCAAGGGCTGTGTGAGAAAATGAACTGACCTTGGTCACCCCAGCCCTCCATCTGGTGCCCTCCAGGGATGAGTGTCCTGCCACCCTGGAGACCCAGTTCTGGGCTTAAGTCTTCCCAGGTGAGGGTGAGCCTGTCCCCATACCCCTAGGGCAGTGACTACTCACTGGGAAGGATGGTTTTGTAGCGGTTCTTCCGCACCAGCCCAGGGATGTCGTACTCTTTTGGATCCACAAAGTTCATGGGGATTTCCTGCAGGAGAAGGACATGGGGGTGTGAGCAGCTGTGGGCTGGCTCTTGAAGATGTTCTAACCAGGTGCTGCTTGCCCTCAAGTTTTGTCGGGCTACCTTAAGTGCACTCATTCATTCAACAAACATTTACTGTTAAATGAGTTAGTACTCGTAGGTCATTTAGGATAGTGACTGGCACACACCAAGAGCATGACACATGTTATAACTAGTGTTTATTGAGGGCCACCCTGGCACATGGCAGACGCTCAGCAAGTGATGAATAAATGAAGAACAAGACAGAAGTGACAAGGCCAATCGCTGCATTCTTCCATGTTCTCTGTGCAACAGCGAAACCAGGTGGCTTCACTGAATTATGTGCCCACCCTATGCGTCCCTACCTTGGTGGTGCTGCTTTCCTGCCACACCTGCCCCACCCTCATCTCCGCATGCGTCTATCTGAAAGGCCGAGGCCTCTGAGAAGCCTCCTGAGTCTGCAGCAGAAGGGGTCTTCTGCCGAGCCCCCAGGACTGTGTGTGCCCCTCCACCTGTCCTGTGTCCTGAGCTCCACGTCTGCCCTCTGCTCCTGGCATGCAAAGCCTCCCTGTATCTGGCCCCTCTTGACCTCCAGTTGTGCCCGTCTCTTTGTGGCTAGGACCATGCCATTCACAGTCCTGCCTCCAGGCTGAGCTTGTGGCATTCCACTCGCTGGGAGCACTGGTCTCACCCTCCATCTTTCCAAATCATTCCAATACCTTAAGGTTCACCCCAGCTCCCCCTCCCTAAGATGTCCTCTGGGACGTTTCTCCAGTGCCTCTTGCCCCTGCGCTCCTTCTGATCTGTCCACACGGTTTACCACCTGAACACAGTGTCCCATTGTTTGTTGTTTCTGGACACATTATATGGGCTGTTGTAAAATGCAGATCATGATGCCTTCCAGGGTTGTGAGAATCCAAAGGAAACAAAAACACACATGTGCAAAACTACCCATGGAGAGGGTGCTCAGGCCATGTTCCTTGCTCTCTGGCAAAAAATCTACAATACTCAGGCTGGGGATATAGCTCAGTTGGTAGAGTGCTTGCCTTACATGCACAAGGCCCTGGCTTCAATCTCCAGCAACACCCCCCACCCCCCCCAAAAAAACCCCCAAAAAACCAAAAAAACCAAAAACAAAACCAAAAAAACAAAACCCAACAAACAAACAACAACAACAACAACAACAACAAAAACCTACAATACTCTATTTAACAGAAAAGGACATGGTGGATGGAAGCTATTTCTTCAAGGGGAGAAGGTGGGTGGGAGCCTGGAGTGGGAGTTGAGGCTGGCTGTTAAGAAAGCCTTTCCAGAGGCATCAGGTGGGGAAAGATGTGAGGAAGAAATAGGGATGGGGACGCAGGCACAGGGCAGCTGGCCCAACTGTAAGTGCACAGTCCCTGCAGGGGTGGGATGGGGCTGGAGCACAGGCTGGGAAAGGAGGTGGGGATAGATCAAGCAGGCGGACCCATTTCTTCTGCAGGGTGTCAAGTTCTGGAGAACCTGGAGCAGTGGGTCTGAGGGTGCTGGTGGGTGAGTCATCTGATTGATGAAGTTGATTGAGGAAGTGGGCTTCTGAGCCTCAGCCCCTTTCTTCTTCCTCCTCTTGGAGGCCTCCTGCCAAGAAAGAATGATGGAGGCACCCCATGGGGCAAGGTCCACCATGGGCCAGCACTGCCTCAGTGGTGGGAAGTTTGTGTGATTCTGGGGCTTGGTATCAGGAAGCTTACTCTTGCTGTACCTTGTGCAGCCTCATTTCAAACCTACCCTTTCTGCCGTAAAGGTGTCACTGTGATCTGCCATGTTTTAGCTCTTTACTGGCTGTGCACTCAGGCTGGTGAACAGGGCTGTCATTGATTGGACCCCTCAAAGTCCAACAGCCAGAGGCTGTTGCAGAGGCTGCAGGAGGAGATTAGGACCTAAGCTAGAGCCTTAGGGGTGGCAAGGAGGGGAGGGGACTGGAGAGATGTCAAGACAATGTACAATGCTTAGGGATGTCAGGCCGGAGGAGGGTGGGAAGACAGGAGGATAGGAAGTTCAGCTTTCTGTGGCTTTCAGAGCAGAGTCCTGGCAAAGACCTAGGAACACCATAGCATGCCAATCACCCAGCTGGCTACTTTGCACATAGTAATTAATCTCCATAATCCTATCATTTCATCCCATTTTCCAGATGAGGACACAGAGGCTCAGAAAAAAATCAGTTTGCCCAAGGTGGCAGGAGAGCTGAGAATGAGGTGGTGCTCATTACTCCAGATGCCAAGTCTGGGCACTACCCACAACCTGGCTGGCTGGATGAGTGATATGAGTGGAGAGTCCGCCTACAGAGGGTGGCAGGCACAAGGGGACTCACAAAGAATTCGGCCTGTAGCAGGAAAGGGTCCAGGGCCTTTTCATGGAGCTCCTCTGCTCGGAGGACGCGGGAGGCACTGAGCAGGTACTCGTGGGCTGACTCCTCACGTGGGGACACGAGATAGCCGAAGCCTTCCTCATTGCAGCCCGGGGTGCACATGTCCAAGGTCAGGGAGACATTGGAGCCCCTCCTGGAAGGACCGAGAAGGAGGAAATGAATCTTGGGAAGGGACAGGCTTTAGCTGGGATCCTTGGGCCTCAGAGGGGAGGGTGGGGGGTTATGGGGGACAGGGAGGGATATGGGAAAAGGAGTGAGAGTGTGGCAAGACCCTGTCACAGGAGCGTGAGACTCAGTCCTGAGGTGAAGTCCTGCACCCCTCTCTCTTGCCTCCTGCAGCAGAGCAACTGGGTGGGTGTTTGGGGCCTCAGATTCCATCCAAAGCAACCCAACACGGCCCTCCTCTGGGCTCACCTCTGTCCCAGCTGGAGGCAGTTTCACCCTATGGCCCCTAAGCAGCCCCAGAGTAGATACCTGCCTAGGTCAGAGGAGCAGGGCTCGAGCCTAAGATGGCTCCAAACCTCTGCAACACAGCTCTGGGCCCAGTCCTGACTGAGGCTGCCAGTGGGTCAAGAACACATCCTCCAGGAGAGGTCAGGACCCTCAGGAAAGGAGGGAGTCCCAGGGGCAGCTCAGTGGCAGCAAGGATAAGTTCATGTGTCCAGTAAACCACAAAACAGAAAGGACCCCCTCTACACAGAGATGGAAAGTGAGTCCTTATGAGGGGAGCGGGGACCAGAGACGCCGAGGCTCTCATTGTGGCAGAGATGAAACAAAAAGCTGGGTTTCCTGCCTCTTCATCCAGTGCTCTTTCTCTGACGTCATGGGGGTTACTCGGTGGTGAGACCTGGCTTACGCAGTTATGGTCTGAGAAGAGGATTTCACACCTCCAAAGTGCTCTGCAGAATACTGAGACACTTTAGAAAAGGGTTCTGTGGCCAGGTGACTTTGGGAAATGCCACATACTGTCTCCTTGCTGATTTACAATGAACACAGGCACACTAAAGGCCCTGACGAGTCCTGCAGTAAGGAAAGCTACCGGAACTTCCTTGAGTAAAGGAGAGTATACACATGTGCACACTGGCAGATGCCTAGGTGTGCTTGTGTAATAGCACTATTTTTTTTTTTTTTTTTTTTTTTACACCTGAAGATCATGTATCTACACTGGCTGGGCTCTCTCCTGGGCTGTCAGAGTCGACATCTACCTTTTGGAATGGGAGCTGAAAGCATGAGGGCCCGTCAAGCCCACCCCTCGCCCACCCCTCCTCCACCCCTCCCACCTCTCCTGCAGACCCATGGACTTGACGGTCAGTGAGGCAGGGTCAGCCTCAGGCTTGATGTCCATCACGCAGTCAAACACAGGAGTCTCGGGCACCGGATCCAGGTCCAGGAAGTCATCTTCGACTTTCTCCTCCATCCACTCTGAGTAGGTAAAGGAGGGCTGGCGGCTCACAGATTGGCGCCTGTCCTCTGGGGGCACCGGGGTGGGCGGCTCCGGGGGAGCCTTTAGGAGGTGCCACACCTGGTTGAGAATATAGGGTTTAATGGACCTAGAACCATGCCAGCTGTGGTGTCCTGGGGTGACCACAGGATTGGGCCCTCTGTCCCTCCATGTATCTAGACCAGCCATGCTCTCCTGGGAGCTGTCTATGAGGAACTCTGATCTCCTAGTTAGGAGTTTCCTCCATCTACTCTCCCTCCCTGTCCTCCAGGGTTCTGGGAGCCTCCCTGCCTCAACCCCTTTCCCCAGCCCAGATGGCTGCAAGCCAATTTCTAGGAAGAAGGCATCTCTTGCCCCAGGCCAGGCATCCTGGCCAAGGGAGACAGATACATGTCCTTGTCCTACCCAGCACCCAGGATGTCTAGTCTGTAGATCAGATGGGAGCTGGTGAGAAGCAGGACCTCAGGGCCAGAGGAGGAAAGCACTGAGGTTGGGGCAGGGGGCACCTTACCAGGGTGGTGACGAGGACCAGGCCCACGGACAGGGAGACCAGCAGCAGACTGGGGACTCCCGAGGTCCCTGCGCCCAGCCAGGCCTGGGGAACATTAAACAAACAGGTCAGGGTGGTGGTGGGGGCAGAGTCCTTGTCTATTCCAAAGGTGACAAAACTGAGGCTCTAAAAAGCATCTCTGGGATCTGAGGTGGGGAGCAGGCAGAACTTCAGGGGCTTGGAAATATCTCCTGAACTCAGAGAAGCCCCACTCAGGAGCTGGGGAGGGTGGACTGGAGGCCCCTAACACATCTCCCCACCCCAAGGTTCCCCAGAGCTTACTCACCGTGGGTCCCAGCTGTTTCAGGATTGTGAGCGAGGAGAGGATGAGATCTGTGGCATTCTGCAACCAGATGTGGCCGTAGCCGCTGAACCAGAGCACCCCACAGGCAAGCTGGGGCAGTCGGGGGATCAGGCTGAGTTCAGAGCCCGGGCTCCTTGCCCCCACATTCTCAGCCTCACCCTCAATCTGGATCCCCAAGGAGGTTCCTGAACCTTTCAGGTCCAGATGTGGTAGCTGAGGGAAGGGCCCAAGTGCTGTGTACCCAGAGGAGAGATTTCAGGACTCTCCTTGGAGAAAAGCAGACTAAAAACAGTCAAAACAAAGGGAGACCCCACAGGTACATACATAAAAAGGGAAGCCTCCCAGAAAGGCTTCCACAGACAGGAAGGAAGTCCTCAGGATCAGGGGGTCAAGGGTCTGGGGGGCCCTGCAGTCCTGATCCTTGAGTGAGGGAAGACAGGTTGTGAGGGGCTTATCTCCTGAAGCTGCAGCAGAATTCCTGCCCTCCCCTCACATGATCTTCAGGACTTGAAGTTACCCAGGGCCCCTCTTCTTTGTCTCCCCAGGTAGCTATCTTGGGGAGGAAGTGGAAGGCTGTCCCTCAACCCACCCGCTCTCCAGGTCCTCATGAGGCCTGTGACATCCTTACCAGGAACTGTGAGGCAGCGAACAGGCACAGGCTGCTCCTGACAGTGAGGGAGTGGCTCCCGGTGCCTTGAGGTGGTGGTTTCTGAGCTGGCTCTGAGGGTGGTGGGGGCGGTGGCATCTCTCTCTGCACACTGGGGAGCCCTTTGGCCTCGTCCAGCGCCTCCATCACTACCGGCTGGGGGAGACCTGTGCAAGGTGGGACACAGGCCAATTACACCAGGCCCTGCCCGTGCACAGGGTTCTGCTGACCCACGGTGGACAGTTCCTTCTGGAGTTGCTGTGGCTTCCTCCCAATCCGGGATCAGTCAGCGTGGCTCCTCTTCCAGCAGTCACCCTCGATTAGCAAAGCAATATTCACCTACCTTCGTCAGAAAGAGCTAAGTGTGGGTGGACAAATTATTTCTCTTTTATTTCTCCAGTAACAGAGTTAAAATGGCAGGAGGTTTTTCAGAGTTAATATCGTTGTATTTACGCAGCTTCATTCTTTTCCATTTCTTAAGGAAACAAAAAACAACCACCTCAAACTCGATTAAAAAAGAAAGAAAGAAAGAAAGAAAAAAAAAAAAAAAAAGACACAGCATAACCAGGCCGTGACCCTGAACAACCCACCTACGCCTGCTCTCTGGAGTTTTGTTTTTCGTGGTCTGTGTCCTGACAGGGGCTGAAAGCTGGACTGTTAATATCACAGCCACGTGCCTCCCCTACCTTGGGACCCCCACACTGAGAGGGGGTGGGCAATCTGGGGGATGTGGAAGAAAATCTTGGTGTAGTAAGATCGATAGCACATGTTGGGGTCGAGCTCAGGGTCTGTCCGTGGTTGGTGTGGCCTCAGGAGAGTCACTTCCTTTTCGAATCTCAGTTTCCCCACCTGAAAAGTGGGGGATGGGCTCAACCCCTGTTTTTCTAATTGTGCTTTTCGGAGCTCCAGGGTTTCTTGGGTGCAGCAGGGGCTGTTACCAAGTGCCTGGAGTTCCTATGCCTGTGTCTCAGCATGGAAGCTATTCCTGTTCCCATTCCGTATGCTGGGCTTCTGTTACGATGATTTCAACAGTTCTACCAACACATCTGACGACCACTGGCTACTCCAGTGCTATCCATCCTGGTGAGTCCACATGTTGGTCCCCACCCAAACTCATGTCTCAGTTTATCACCCAGAAGGGCAAGACCAACAAAACGGATGTGTACGGCTTGTTAGCTGGGATGGAGCTGCCCACACATCACTGTGCAGATGGGACAATGGACTTCTTTTCTGGTTGGGGTACAACAGAACCAGAGGAGACCAACACAGCTGTTTGTGCATATGCCTCCTCACTCATGCCACAAACACTTCCGGAGCCTCTCACAGCCCAGATCAACAGTGGAATACACAGCCCTGATCCTGGATACACCCGTGTGAACATAATAGGTTCCCCCTTTCCAGCTGGTTTCTCTTCTTTTTAAAAAGTTTGTTTTAACTAGTTATACATGACAGTCGAATGCACTTTGATACATCATATATAATGGAGTATAATATCTCATTCTTCTGGTTGTACATGATGTAGAATCACACTGGTCGTACAATTATGTATGTATATAGGGTAATAATGTCTGATTCATTCTACTATCCTTCCTACCCCATACCTCCTCCCGTCACTCCCCTCTACCTAATCTAATGTAACTCTATTCTTCCCTAACCTTGCCCCCATTGTGAATTAGCATCCTTATATAAGAGAAAACATTCAGCTTTTGGTTTTTTGGGATTGGCTTACTTCACTTAGCATGATATTCTCCAACTTCATGCATTTACTGGCCAATGCCATAATTTCATTCTTCTTTAAGGCTGAGTAATAGTCTATCATTCATATATGTGTGTCTATATTATATATATTATATATGTAATATATATAATATATACTATATCTATATAATTTTTTATCCATTCATCTGTTGAAGGGCACCTAGGTTGGTTCCATACTTTGGCTATTGTGAATTGAGAGCTGCTATAAACATTGATGTGGCTACATCACTGTAGTATGCTGATTATAAGTCCTTTGGGTATAAACTGAGGAGTGAGATAGCTGGGTCAAAAGGTGGTTCCATTCCAAGTTCTCTAAGGAATCTCCATACAAATTTTCATAATGATTGCTCCAATTTGCATTCCCACCAGCAAAGTATGAGTGTACCTTTTCCCCCACATCATCGCCAAAATTCATTGTTGTTTGTATTCTTGATAATTGCCATTCTGATTGATTGTATTTCTTCTTCTGTGAAGTATCTGTTCAGTTCCTTAGCCTATTTATTGACTGGATTATTTATTGTTTTTGGTGTTAAGTTTTTTTGAGTTCTTTATATATCCTGGAGATTAATGCTCTATCTGAGGTGTGTGTGGTAAAGATTTTCTCCTTTTCTTTATGCTCTCCCTTTCATATTATTGTTTCTTTTGTGGAGAAGTTTTTTAGTTTAAAATCTGTCCAATTTATTGATCCTTGATTTTACTTCTTGCACTTTAGGAATCTCATTAAGGAAGTCAGATTCTACACTCACATGGTGATGATCTGGGCCTACTTTTTCTTCTGTTAGGCCCAGGATCTCTGGTCTAGTGCCTAAGTCTTTGGTCCACTTTGAGTTGAGTTTCATGCAGGGTAAGAGATAGGGGTTTAATTTCATTTTGTTACATGTATTTCCAATTTTCCCAGTACCATTTATTAAATAGTCTATCTTTTTCTCCAGTGAATGTTTTTGGAATCTTTTTCTAGTATGAGATAACTGTATTTATGCAGGTTTGTCTCTGTGTCTTCTATTTTGTACCATTGGTCTATGTGTCTGTATTAGTGCCAATATCATGCTGATTTTGATACTATGGCTTTTTAGTACAGTTTAAGGTCTGGTATTGTGATACCTCCTTCTTTATTCTTATTGCTAAAGATTGCTTTGGCTATTCTGGGTTTTTAATTTTTCCAAATGAATTTTATGATTGCTTTTTCTAGTTCTATGAAGAATGTTATTGGGATTTTAATTAGAATTTCATTAAATCTGTATAATGCTTTTGGTAGTATGGCCATTTTGACAATATTAATTCTGCCTATCCAGGAGCATGGGAGATCTTTCCATCTTCTAAGGTCTACTTCAATTTCTTTCTTTAGTGTTTTGTAATTTTCATTGTAGAGGTCTTTTATCTCTTTTGTTAGATTGAGTCCCAGGTATTTTATTTTTTGAAGCTATTGCAAATGGGGTAGTTTTTCTAATTTCTCTTTCAGTAGATTCATCACTGATGTATAGAAACACGTTTATGGGTGTTGATTTTATAACCTGCTTCTTTGCTGAACTCATTTAGGAGTTTTGAAAGTTTTCCTGGTGGAATATTTTGGCTCTTTGAAATATAGAATCATGTCATCAGAAAATAGTGATAGTTTAAGTTCTTCTTTTCCTATTTGTATCCCTTAAATTTCTTTCTCCTGTCTAATTCCCCTGGCTAGAGTTTCAAGGACAATGTTGAGTAGTAGCAGTAAAAGAGGGCATCCTTGTCTTGTTCCAGTTTTTAGAAAGAATTCTTTCAATTTTTCTCCTTTTAGAATGATGTTGGTCTTGGGTTTGGCATATATAGTTTTTATAGAAGTTGAGGTATGTCCCTACTATCCCTAGTTTTTTCAGTGTTTTGTACATGAGGAGGTGCTATATTTTGTCAAATGTTTTTTTTTTTTTCTGAATCTACTGAGAAGATCATATATTCTTGTTTTTACGTCTATTGATGTGATTTATTAATTTATTGATTTCCATATGTTGAATCAACCTTTTATCCCTGGGATGAACCATACTTGATTGTGGTGCACTATCTTTTAAATATGGTTTTGTATGAAGTTTGCCAGAATTTTATTGAGAATTTTTGCATTTATGTTCATCAGGGATATTTTTCTTAAGTTTTCTTTCTTTGATGTGTCTTTGTCTGGTTTTGGTATCAGGGTGAGATTAGCCTCATAGAATGAGTTTGGAAGGACTCCCTCCTTTTCTATTTCATGGAATACTTTGAGGAGTATTGGTGTTAATCATTCTTTGAAGGTCTTATAGAACTTGGCTGATAATCCATCTGGTCCTGGGCTTTTCTTTATTGGTAGGCTTTTGATGGTGTTTTCTATTTCATTACTTGTAATTGATCTGTTTAAATCGTGTGTATCTTCCTGATTCAGTTTGGGTAGGTCATCTCTGAAATCTGTCGATGTCTTCAAGGTTTTCTATTTTATTGGAGTATAAATTTTCAAAATAGTTTCTAATTATCTTCTGTATTTCAGTCATGTCCATTGTGATATTTCCTTTTTCAACACATTTTTAAGTAATTTGAGTTTTCTCTCTTTTTCTCTTTGTTAGCATGGCTAGGGGTTTATTTTTCCAAATAACCAATTTTGTATTATCAATTTTTTTTCAGTTGTTTCTTTTGTTTCAATTTCATTGATTTTAACTGTGATTTTAATTATTTCCTGTCTTCTACTGTTTTTTGGTGTTGATTTATATTTCTTTTTCTAGGGCTTTGAGTTGTAATGTTAGGTCATTTATTTGTTGACTTTTTATTCTTTTAATGAATGAGCTCAATGCAATGAACTTTCCTCTTAGCCCTGCCTTCAAGGTGTCCCAAAGATTTTGATATGTTGTACACTATTCTCATTTACCTCTAAGTATTTTTAAATTTCATCTCTGATTTCTTCATTTTCCATTCATCATTCAATAGTGTATTATTTAGTCTCCAGGTGTTAGAGAGTAGCTTTTATTTTTTATTCTATCATTGATTTCTAATTTTATTTCATTATGATCTGATAGGATGCAGTGTATTATCTCTATTTTTTTTTGTATTTGCAAAGAGTTGCTTTAGGGCATAAGATATGGTCTATTTTAGAGAAGGATCCATGTGCTGCTGAGAACAAAATATATTTGCTCATTGATGGATGAAATATTCTATATATGTTAAGTATAAATTATTGATTATATTATTTAGATCTAGAGTTTCTTTGTTTAGCTTTTGTTTGGAAGATCTATCCAGTGAAAGAGGTGTGTTAAAGTCACCCAGTATTATTGTGCTGTGATCTATTTAATTCTTGAAGTTGGGAAGGGTTTGTTTGATGTACGTAGATGCTTCATTGTTTGGGGCATAAATATTTATGATTGTTATGTCTTATTGATGTATAATTCCCTAAAGAAGTATGAAATGTCCTTCTTTG